ATAATTCAACCAACCAAGGCCCACTACAAAACCTAGCACATTCTTAATACCATCCATATTCACAATGAAACCACCAATAGCCACCGAATTATTGTCAAAATATTTTTTCAATTAATCATCCAAATCTTAGTTAATTAAGTAAAAAAGGAAAAAGAAAATAAAAAATTCAACCAACCAAGGCCCACTACAAAACCTAGTCTATTCTTAATACCACCCATATTCACAATGAAACCACCAATACCCACCATTTTCAACATTAAAGATGGCCGGTTGTCTCCATCTCTCACAAAAAGAAAAATGCATTAATAATGCTACACAAACCATCCAATAATAAACCAGAAAAATTCCACATTCATTCACATCTTTATTAACAAATCAAACATAAGATTTTCCCAAAAAAAAAACTCTCCAGATCTATATGCAAATCAGAGGGTTGTTTTCGGCCATCTTTTTTTTTTTTATCTTTTTTTCTTTTGAAGTTGTCATCGTTTTTTTCATCCATAATCCCACACAAGATATACTCCAATATACATATACACTTTGAAGTTCTACTCCAATATACATATATACTTTGATGTATGTGTATATATGTAAGCAAAGGACGAAAAATCAACGCTAAATGGAAGTTCAGACGCCGATTTGTGACTACTAGAGCTCCGGAGTCACAACCAGATTTTTTTAAAGCAGTTAAGTTAANCGGAGTCACAACCAGATTTTTTTAAAGCAGTTAAGTTAACAAATTTGTATATTACAGAACTTTCTTGAGAGAAAAAATAAATTTTCTTCATGTTTTGTAACATAAATGGGCTTAGATCTTCAGATCCAAAAATTTTTCATTCATATTTCGGAAAAAAATTCCAGATTTTTTATTTTTTAAGTTTTTGGATAATCAAAACATTTCGAAACAGAATTGATAGAACAATACAATACCTCCAAGCTAGAGAAAAAAGTAGTGCAACAGATGGTGCTCATAGAGAAACATTTTAAAAAAAGAATGGTGGACAGAATTTTTGAAAACAAAAAATGCAGACATGAGGTAGACGAATAGATTGTTTGAAATCAAGAAACATGAAAAAAAAAGTCATTAACAGATATATTCGAAACAAAATTGCTAAAATAATACAATACAATACCTTCAAGTTAGAGAAAAAATGTCGTGCAACAGATGGTGCTCATGGAGAAATATGGCACAAGTTTTTATATATAAAAGAAAGGTTACAGTGACTTTTAGGTTTCTAAACCTTAAAAAAAAAAAACAATTTAATGAACACAAAGCTCAACAAATGAAATTGTTAAAAAAGACAGGGTATAGTGATTTTTCGGTTTTCAAACATTTTTTTTTTAAAAAAAGAATGATTTAATGAATACAAAACTCAACGAATGAAATTGTTACTATCAATAAAAGCATACTGTAATGTTTGAATAATGGGTAGAAGTACTAAATTTTGGAAAACATAAAATGCGGACTTGAGGTAGACGAACAGACTTTTTGAAATCAAAATTCTATAAGAGGAAAGTACATTTTGACATGAACTTTTTTTTTTACAGCACTTCTGTTTTTATATACTATAGCTTATTTGGGAGGAGTTAAAATTGAAAATATAGCTATTATTGAGTTCATCTAGTTTAATAAAAATCAACAATAACAACTAATTTTTTAATTTTAATCCGATTTTAATCTAAACCAAACAGATTTATTCCTTCTCCCGCAAAGGATCAATCGCGAATGAATTATTCCCGGAGTACAAGGAATAATTACAGAATTATTACATGATGCTGTGAATTTGTATGTGTGTTTTTTTGCAACTTTAAATTCGTGTTGTTGATTTCAAGTTTCTGTATCAATTCTGTACATTTTTTCTGTACTTGTAGACTGACTGATCACGAAGAAAGCGGGAAAGCATAATGTACCACAGTACTCACATAGAGCTGGGAAATTATTGAAAATACCCCAAATTCAACCGTACCCTTTTCAAAATACCCCTTTTTACTATTTAACCTTATAACTACCTAAAATACCCTTAATATAAAAAGTTTCAAAACAAGTCATTTTAGACCTTAAAATTTTAAT